TATGCTCTGATACCATGTTAGAATAGGAGGCAAAAGTGATGTCGACTGTCGAGAGGGTTGGTACAAAGAAAATGAACCTAAGGGGTTGTACCCCACAGTGTGTACCCCACTAAGCCTACCCAAACTATAACATAGATATACATATGTTTGACACAGGGTACCCCTGTGTAGAAACCATGATTGACAGTGTTCCTAAAAAAAAAAGCCTGAAATATGCTTTTGAAAAAAGGCTGATGCATCAGTGTCCAATAATATAAAAGCCTGTTATTATTAGAAATCTCTATTTTAAATACTAAGTCAGTAGCAGCCTTCCGAAACATTGCTAAGCTAACATGCCTCATGAATCATCACCAGCCGTGCTATCATCACTGCCCTTAGCCTTCGGTTCTTCTCTCTCCTCCTCAGCTTGGGACACCAGTACGTGACAGTGCTCTGCCGCAGCACACACCCCGGCTTCACTTCTGCTTGCGACACATACACGTTGAAGCTGCAGGGGCAGGGTTTGGGGGAGGAACCAGATTGACAGGCAGGGTGAGGCAGGGAGAGAGGAGGGAAGACTAGCACGGTTGGGGGGGAGACGACCGGGGAGAGAGGGAGTGGATGGAGTGCGGGGTAAAGGGAGCAGGGGAATGGACGGCGGGCGCGCGGGTCATGCCGTCGCGCAGCACGACGCTTTGCGCGCCGCCCGCGGCGCAGATGGCCTTTCAACCGCGGTTCGTGCTGGCAACGAGGCAGCCTTCGGTCGTCGCCATTAGCACGAAAAACTACGCGTCATCGAGTCGTAGCGGGCTTGCGACGCCGACGGGAATTGCCACGTGGCCGACGACCATCTCGCATGCGCTGCGGATCGAGTCGAACGGGAGCGATGTGTTCGGCGAGACAAGAGGAGGTTCGGCGGCGCTCGCGATGGGTTCGATTCCCTACAGCCCGCCGTTTCTGGTGCTGATGGCGCCATGTATTAGTGTAGACGAGAAAACGCGAGAGAAATCGGGCTGAGAGGGAGGGAGAGAGAAACAGGAGGAAAAGAAACAAGAGATTGGATTGGAGGGAATGGCAGCATCAGTGCTTGCCAGCACAGCCAACGGTGCAGGAACCCTCGCAGCCCTCTAGCACCACATGGTTGCCACATTCTGATTAGCCAACACTTCATGCTGCAGGGAAACTGCCCAATGGAGTGATGGCACCGTAGGAATATAAGATTCCCTGTAATTGCGGGCAAATCCACACGGAACGGAACAAGCAAGAATTGCTTTCAGTGTTAGTTTCATTACAACGCTGTGGAATCAGTGTACTTGGGGAAAAAAGTCTGAAATTTCAGTGTGGCCTAACAAAAAGGCTGAAAGATCAGTCCCACAAAAATCTCAACACTGACTTTTCAGTGCAGGTAAAAAAAGGACTGCCAAAATCAGGAATTTCAGGGTTTTTTCCCTGATATCTGAGGCCCTGGTGCTGGTCCTTTCGTCAGTGTCTAAAAAATCTTTCTATCAGAGTCCCTTAGAAAAAATACCAGTGTTGTCACTGTTGTCAGCAAAAAAAATCAGTGTCGTCAGCATAAGAAAACGTTTTTTGAATATACCGTCATCGCCCGGATAGTAGACAGCGTTGAATAGTAGACAGGGGTTGTCTATTATCCGGGGGTCTCTTATAAACAGGCAAGCCTCATTATAAGACACCTATTTGTGTGTACGAGATAAGACATACGTGTCGTATAATCGAAACTGCAATATATTATATTGAAACTTGAAATACCGCGTACATCTTTACCCTTGCGATGCGCGAATTCTTCCACGTGCTGACTCAGGTACTACCAAATTTGCCTCTGCAAGTATTTTCCATGACGTGGCTTCCCGAACAATGGTTGCCGAAGTGGCACCTTCGCAACATCCAGACTCATAAGAAACTCTCTTCAAGATGTGTGAAAAAAAATTATAAGTAGTTAAAAAAAAAATGATTTATAAGACTTGTAAGACACCCAAAACCTCCCCAAATACAAGATAACCCAAACATTTTTTCTAGTGAACGAGATAAGACATATATGTCTTATATCCGGGCGATGACGGTAGTTTAGGGACAATGTACCCATTGTACGGCATGGAGTGGTCCAGTCGGTAGAAGGAAGAATGAGGTTTCGGGTTAGGGACAGGGACAGGGACACGGACAGGGACACGGACAGGGACAGGGACAGGGTCAGGGACCTCTGAGCCACCTCTCGTGTTGCTCTCCTCCCATCTCTCCTCTGACCTTTACTCCCACCCTCTCCTCTCACCGCCACCCAGGGAGGACGAAATAGCACGGCCGGCAGTGGAGCGTGTTTCCTGGCGCCAGTGGTGCTGCCCAACAAGATCGACCGCCTTTGCGTCTCCTCCCATTTCTCTCACCGTGAGCCTCTTTTGCCCCTCTCCTCTCACCTTTCTCCCTTAACCCCTCCAGGGAGGACGAAATAGCAGGGCCAGCAGCAGAGCGCTTCCTGGCGCCAGTGGTGCTGCCCAAGAAGATCAACCGCCTTTACGTCTCCTCCCATTTCTCTCACCCTGAGCCTCTTTTGCCCCTCTCCTCTCACCCTTCTCCCTTAATCCCTCCAGGGAGGACGAAATAGCAGGGCCAGCAGCAGAGCGCTTCCTGGCGCCAGTGGTGCTGCCCAACAAGATCAACCGCATGTACATCAAATTCGGCGCGCCCATCCGCACTGCTGGTACGCTGCTCCTCTCACCACCATCCTCTCACTATCTTGCACAAACTCACCTCAATGCACCTTCTGGTGCTGGCGGTGCAGCCAAGTAGGAAGTGTTGCTGTAGGAGATTATCTGTGGCGGCAGCTGCGGCAGCACTGGCAGCCATATTCTGTGTGTGAGGGGCTGGTAGGTAGGCAGTGCTTCTTCACCATCTCCCCCTTACCTTCTCTATCTCCCCCTTACCTTCTCTATCTCCCCCTTACCTTCTCCATCTCCCCCTTACCTTCTCCATCTCCCCCTTACCTTCTCCATCTCCCCCTTACCTTCTCCATCTCCCCCTTACCTTCTCCATCTCCCCCTTACCTTCTCCATCTCCCCCTTACCTTCTCTATCTCCCATCCATTTCTCCTCTCCCGTCTCATCCACCCCACCCTGCCCAGGCATGCGGGAGGTGTTGACAGACCAGCAAGCAGCATCGGCCCTATATGCACACATGAAGGGTGATGTGGAGGCAGGGATAGAGTACCTGCTGAGAAAGAGAGAGGAGGACCCGTATGCTGACCTTGGGGCGAGGTTGCTATATGAGGCCACGTGGGGGGGCGAGAGACAAGCACCCACTTTCACTCCGTGAGGCACATGGGCAGGCCGGCAGAAAGCCAGGGGAAGGGCGAGGTGGAGAGCGGGATAGAGTACCTGCTGAGGAAGAGAGAGGAGGACCCGTATGCTGATCTTGGGGCGAGGCTGCTGTATGAAGCCACTTGGGGGGGCGAGAGGCAAGCACCCACTTTCAAGCCTTGAGGCACACAGGGGGATAGCTTCTACTATCGATCTGTGATGTGGCATGGGAAGAACTTGTTACCCTGTTAGCAACAGTCGATCTTCTATGCCACCACCATTTGTGTTTGCTCCTCCCCATATAAGGCTGTTTCAGTTCAGGCACATAAATTACTGTGAAAAAATAAAGTAATTTATTCACCAAGCAGTATGTCTAAAGCATGGTACCGTAGTTGTTCTACGGACTGCTGTGTCAAATATGATACAGCGGTCAGGCAAGAGTTACACCAAGGGGAAGACCCTGGGTATGTGAGACAATTTTCTGACTTCTAGTGGAGTTAACAAGTGTGGATAATGGAACCAACAGGTGGGAGAGGCGGCAACTTGCCTGGCTGGCTCTCTTCATTTCCCTTTCCCTGCCAAGCCTTGCTACTACTGCAGCTGTCACGGTCTCCCCCATGCACTCTCACTCTCTGCATCCGCCAAGCCCCTCTCCAACCCACTGCTCCCCCCTGCTGCTCGGAAGTCACTTTCGATACAAGCGAACGTGCCTGCTACCACCCCAACCTCTGCACATCCAAGCCAAGCCTTGCTGCTACTGCAGCTCCTGCAGCCTTGCCCGTGCGCTCTTACTCACAGCAGCTGCCATGCCCCTCTCCACCCACTCCCGCCGCTCCTCCCCACTGCTCTCCCCTGCTGCTCGGAAGCACATGAACGCCAGGCAGTCCCCAGGCGCTGAGGAGAAGCCCTGTGGCGGAGGAGAGGAGGGGAAACGAGGTGAATCTGAAGGGTGAGTAAGGGGTGAGTGTGGGGAACACTGGCAAAGTGGAAGAACACCAATGCCAGGCAGTCCCCAGGTGCTGATGAGAAGCCGTGCAGCAGATGAGAGGCGGAAAGGTGGGGTGAGAATGAGGGATGAGTTGCGGAAGTGATGCATGGAAAAGAAGATGCTGATGTGAGAAGGAAACGATCTGAAGCAAAGCTGAGCCAGTACAATGCAGGCAGATGATAAAAAAAGAAAACAGCTACCTCAACAGTGGCTTCGCCCGGACTTGAACCGGAGACCTTCAGTGTGTTAGACTGACGTGATAACCAACTACACCACGAAACCACATGACAATGAGCAAAGCTCCCTTGAACTCAACTCAACTGAGCCCCTTATTTCAGATGTGCACACACCTCTGCCCTCACCTCTCTGCCCTCACCTCTCCGCCCTCTCCTCTCTCCCCTCACCTCTCTTGAGCTGGATCGCCTAGCATGGTCCCTCATTGCGTGCACCAGCTCCCTCACCTGCCCTGCATCCAGTCCTTGCTGCGCCACAGTACACTGATGCATGTTCACTCATGTCTCTGCCTACCCTCTCTGCCTACCCTCTCTGCCTACCCTCTCTGCCTACCCTCTCTGCCTACCCTCTCTGCCTACCCTCTCTGCCTACCCTCTCTGCCTACCCTCTCTGCCTACCCTCTCTGCCTACCCTCTCTGCCTACCCTCTCTGCCTACCCTCTCTGCCTACCCTCTCTGCCTACCCTCTCTGCCTACCCTCTCTGCCCTCACCTCTCTGGAGTTGGATCGCCTCGCATGGTCCCTCATTGCGCGCACCAGCTCCCTCACCCCACCTTCATCCAGACCTTGCTGGGCCACATACGCCGCTGCTTGCTGCAACCGGAAGGGGGAAGGGTGGAGGAAGGAGTGTTGGGAGGGAGAGAATGAGGTATGAAGCCACATGGAGAAAGAAAGCCCCACCTCCTGTACGAACCACACCACCCCCAGGAGACCCAGCAGCCCCCATCAGCCTCCACCACCCCCAACATCCCCTCAGCCCCGGCGTCCCCAGCAGCACGCACCCGTTGGCTGGCTGTGGGCAGGGTGCGCAGCTCATACAGCAGCTCTGCACTCTGCTCTGCCTGGAACGCCAACACCAGCCCAGCCCCGAGACTCCCAACCATTAGCAACCCACCAACACCCACCCGTCGGCCGACTGTGGGAGGGTGCGCAGCTCATACAGCAGCTCCGCACTCTGCTCTGCCTGAAACACCATCAGCCCCCACCAGCCACAGCACACCCCACCTTCCCCCCCACAGACCCACCATCCCCACCAGCTTCGCTATGCCCACCACTCCCAACCCAGCAGCACCTACCCGTCGGCCGGCCGTAGGCAGGGTGCGCAGCTCATAGAGCAGCTCCGCACTCTGCTCTGATTGGAACGCTCCCGCCATGTCAAAGCTGCTGTCGGCTCCCTCTCCCTCCGGCTCTTGCGGGCCTGGCAGCAGCGACTCGTACACCTGCCGTAGCAGCACAGGGAGGAGAGGAATCGATGGAAGGTGGGTCAAGCGGGAAGAGGCATGAAGAAGCAGGCAGGGTGCGCAGCTCGTACAGCAGCTCCGCACTCTGCTCTGATTGAAACGCCCCCACCACGTCAAAGCCGCCGTCGGCTCCCTCCGCCTCCGGCTCCTGTGCGCCTGGCAGCAGCGAATGGTACACCTGCAGTAGCAGCAGCAGCACCCAGCAGCAGCAGCAGCACCCAGCAGCAGCAGCAGCACAAGGAAGAGCGGAATAAGAACATCGGAGATGGGACAAGGCATGGGGAACCGGGCATGGGAAGGGGCCAGGGAAAGGGGATACCAGGAACAAGGACATGGGCTATGGGACATGGGCTATGGGACATGGGCTATGGGACATGGGCTATGGGACATGGGCTATGGGACATGGGCTATGGGACATGGGCTATGGGACATGGGCTATGGGACATGGCTATGGGACATGGGCTATGGGACATGGGCTATGGGACATGGCTATGGGACATGGGCTATGGGACATGGGCTATGGGACATGGGCTATGGGACATGGGCTATGGGACATGGGCTATGGGACATGGGCTATGGGACATGGGCTATGGGACATGGGCTATGGGACATGGGCTATGGGACATGGGCTAGGGACATGGGCTATGGGACATGGGCTATGGGACATGGGCTATGGACATGGGCTATGGGACATGGGCTATGGGACATGGGCTATGGGACATGGGCTATGGGACCATGGGCTATGGGACATGGGCTATGGGACATGGGCTATGGGACATGGGCTATGGGACATGGCTATGGGACATGGGCTATGGGACATGGGCTATGGGACATGGGCTATGGGACATGGGCTATGGGACATGGGCTATGGGACATGGGCTATGGGACATGGGCTATGGGACATGGGCTATGGGACATGGGCTATGGGACATGGGCTATGGGACATGGGCTATGGGACATGGGCTATGGACATGGGCTATGGACATGGGCTATGGGCTATGGGACATGGGCTATGGGACATGGGCTATGGGACATGGGCTATGGGACATGGGCTATGGGACATGGGCTATGGGACATGGGCTATGGGACATGGGCTATGGGACATGGGCTATGGGACATGGGCTATGGGACATGGGCTATGGGACATGGGGCTATGGGACATGGGCTATGGGACATGGGCTATGGGACATGGCTATGGGACTGGGCTATGGGACATGGGCTATGGGACATGGGCTATGGGACATGGGCTATGGGGACAGGGTATGGGACATGGGCTATGGGACATGGGCTATGGGACATGGGCTATGGGACATGGGCTATGGGACATGGGCTATGGGACATGGGCTATGGGACATGGGCTATGGGACATGGGCTATGGGACATGGGCTATGGGACATGGGCTATGGGACATGGGCTATGGGACATGGGCTATGGGACATGGGCTATGGGACATGGGCTATGGGACATGGGCTATGGGACATGGGCTATGGGACATGGGCTATGGGACATGGGCTATGGGACATGGGCTATGGGACATGGGCTATGGGACATGGGCTATGGGACATGGGCTATGGGACATGGGCTATGGGACATGGGCTATGGGACATGGGCTATGGGACATGGGCTATGGGACATGGGCTATGGGACATGGGCTATGGGACATGGGCTATGGGACATGGGCTATGGGACATGGGCTATGGGACATGGGCTATGGGACATGGGCTATGGGACATGGGCTATGGGACATGGGCTATGGGACATGGGCTATGGGACATGGGCTATGGGACATGGGCTATGGGACATGGGCTATGGGACATGGGCTATGGGACATGGGCTATGGGACATGGGCTATGGGACATGGGCTATGGGACATGGGCTATGGGACATGGGCTATGGGACATGGGCTATGGGACATGGGCTATGGGACATGGGCTATGGGACATGGGCTATGGGACATGGGCTATGGGACATGGGCTATGGGACATGGGCTATGGGACATGGGCTATGGGACATGGGCTATGGGACATGGGCTATGGGACATGGGCTATGGGACATGGGCTATGGGACATGGGCTATGGGACATGGGCTATGGGACATGGGCTATGGGACATGGGCTATGGGACATGGGCTATGGGACATGGGCTATGGGACATGGGCTATGGGACATGGGCTATGGGACATGGGCTATGGGACATGGGCTATGGGACATGGGCTATGGGACATGGGCTATGGGACATGGGCTATGGGACATGGGCTATGGGACATGGGCTATGGGACATGGGCTATGGGACATGGGCTATGGGACATGGGCTATGGGACATGGGCTATGGGACATGGGCTATGGGACATGGGCTATGGGACATGGGCTATGGGACATGGGCTATGGGACATGGGCTATGGGACATGGGCTATGGGACATGGGCTATGGGACATGGGCTATGGGACATGGGCTATGGGACATGGGCTATGGGACATGGGCTATGGGACATGGGCTATGGGACATGGGCTATGGGACATGGGCTATGGGACATGGGCTATGGGACATGGGCTATGGGACATGGGCTATGGGACATGGGCTATGGGACATGGGCTATGGGACATGGGCTATGGGACATGGGCTATGGGACATGGGCTATGGGACATGGGCTATGGGACATGGGCTATGGGACATGGGCTATGGGACATGGGCTATGGGACATGGGCTATGGGACATGGGCTATGGGACATGGGCTATGGGACATGGGCTATGGGACATGGGCTATGGGACATGGGCTATGGGACATGGGCTATGGGACATGGGCTATGGGACATGGGCTATGGGACATGGGCTATGGGACATGGGCTATGGGACATGGGCTATGGGACATGGGCTATGGGACATGGGCTATGGGACATGGGCTATGGGACATGGGCTATGGGACATGGGCTATGGGACATGGGCTATGGGACATGGGCTATGGGACATGGGCTATGGGACATGGGCTATGGGACATGGGCTATGGGACATGGGCTATGGGACATGGGCTATGGGACATGGGCTATGGGACATGGGCTATGGGACATGGGCTATGGGACATGGGCTATGGGACATGGGCTATGGGACATGGGCTATGGGACATGGGCTATGGGACATGGGCTATGGGACATGGGCTATGGGACATGGGCTATGGGACATGGGCTATGGGACATGGGCTATGGGACATGGGCTATGGGACATGGGCTATGGGACATGGGCTATGGGACATGGGCTATGGGACATGGGCTATGGGACATGGGCTATGGGACATGGGCTATGGGACATGGGCTATGGGACATGGGCTATGGGACATGGGCTATGGGACATGGGCTATGGGACATGGGCTATGGGACATGGGCTATGGGACATGGGCTATGGGACATGGGCTATGGGACATGGGCTATGGGACATGGGCTATGGGACATGGGCTATGGGACATGGGCTATGGGACATGGGCTATGGGACATGGGCTATGGGACATGGGCTATGGGACATGGGCTATGGGACATGGGCTATGGGACATGGGCTATGGGACATGGGCTATGGGACATGGGCTATGGGACATGGGCTATGGGACATGGGCTATGGGACATGGGCTATGGGACATGGGCTATGGGACATGGGCTATGGGACATGGGCTATGGGACATGGGCTATGGGACATGGGCTATGGGACATGGGCTATGGGACATGGGCTATGGGACATGGGCTATGGGACATGGGCTATGGGACATGGGCTATGGGACATGGGCTATGGGACATGGGCTATGGGACATGGGCTATGGGACATGGGCTATGGGACATGGGCTATGGGACATGGGCTATGGGACATGGGCTATGGGACATGGGCTATGGGACATGGGCTATGGGACATGGGCTATGGGACATGGGCTATGGGACATGGGCTATGGGACATGGGCTATGGGACATGGGCTATGGGACATGGGCTATGGGACATGGGCTATGGGACATGGGCTATGGGACATGGGCTATGGGACATGGGCTATGGGACATGGGCTATGGGACATGGGCTATGGGACATGGGCTATGGGACATGGGCTATGGGACATGGGCTATGGGACATGGGCTATGGGACATGGGCTATGGGACATGGGCTATGGGACATGGGCTATGGGACATGGGCTATGGGACATGGGCTATGGGACATGGGCTATGGGACATGGGCTATGGGACATGGGCTATGGGACATGGGCTATGGGACATGGGCTATGGGACATGGGCTATGGGACATGGGCTATGGGACATGGGCTATGGGACATGGGCTATGGGACATGGGCTATGGGACATGGGCTATGGGACATGGGCTATGGGACATGGGCTATGGGACATGGGCTATGGGACATGGGCTATGGGGGACATGGGCTATGGGACATGGGCTATGGGACATGGGCTATGGGACATGGGCTATGGGACATGGGCTATGGGACATGGGCTATGGGACATGGGCTATATGGGGGACATGGGCTATGGGACATGGGCTATGGGACATGGGCTATGGGACATGGGCTATGGGACATGGGCTATGGGACATGGGCTATGGGACATGGGCTATGGGACATGGGCTATGGGACATGGGCTATGGGACATGGGCTATGGGACATGGGCTATGGGACATGGGCTATGGGACATGGGCTATGGGACATGGGCTATGGGACATGGGCTATGGGACATGGGCTATGGGACATGGGCTATGGGACATGGGCTATGGGACATGGGCTATGGGACATGGGCTATGGGACATGGGCTATGGGACATGGGCTATGGGACATGGGCTATGGGACATGGGCTATGGGACATGGGCTATGGGACATGGGCTATGGGACATGGGCTATGGGACATGGGCTATGGGACATGGGCTATGGGACATGGGCTATGGGACATGGGCTATGGGACATGGGCTATGGGACATGGGCTATGGGACATGGGCTATGGGACATGGGCTA